TACTGTACAGTACTATGCTTCTGGGCACTGTCAGCTGGAGATGGGCAACTCCCTAAATCAAAGCCTATAGTTAATTCAACTCTTTTTTTTAATTTGGAACTGTCAATTATTTTTTCATTATGTATGAACCACATTCTGGAATTTCCATTTGTTTTAAATTTTTGTAACCAATCTACAGAGAATAAGACAGGCACAAAGACATGTTTCCCCTATACTGCCACCTGCAGAGCCATTTGTCAGTTGTTAACCTCCATTGCGCCTGACAGGAGAGATGGCTGTGATTGGAAGGGATGCACATCTCTCACTGACATCACAGCATGCCTCTGGCTGATTAATCCTCACCCTGCCCAGCACTATTCATAAGCACATAAAAGTACTTATGAACGAGAGGATGCTGCTCAGCCTACATATCCCATCTACTGTAGTAGTAGCTGATCAGAGCCAGGGTATTGGCTTCAACAGCATGGATGGGTAGCTTTTTCCATACTCCCACAATCCTCTGGTTCAGACATCTGTACACTGCCACCATGGAAGTCTTGGTCATAGTTGACTAACGAATGCCTGATGTTTAATTCCAAATTGTCTAAATAAATCTTCTTCAACTATATAATTAAGATTAGAGGTGCTAAAACTCAGATCACCCTGCTGATCTGCCCAACCCAGCTAAAAGCTAAGGAGTGTCAATTTGATCATGTTTTTAGCATTTTCAGGTCTGTGTTATTAGACAGAAGTGGTTAATTTATCACTATACTATACTATACTACTATACACTATACTTAATATCTCCTAAAAACATCAAAGTTGAACTGAGGTGTGCAGTCTTAAGGCTCACCAATGAAGAACAGCAGAGACCTGTTACCATAAGACTTCACTATGAAAGTTTTTTTTTTCACTCAATAACCTATTAGTTATTAACCTCAGACAACAATACAATATTGTACAATTCTTTGCGAATCCTTCAGTCTCTTCAACACTTGATTTGTTGTTTTTCATGGTGATGGAGTGAATTTCCAGACTACTAATCAAACAGAACAGCAAAAGTGAACTGCAATGATTTAACGGCGGGCACAAAAACAGAAAACAGTGATGCCTGCAAAGGTAATATGTAGTACATGTGGTACCAATAATTGACATTGGATGAATGTTATAACCCTGCAGAATCTGGACAGAACACCTTACGATTTCAAGCCTTCCATGTGCTATGGCATTTGCAAAACTGAATAAGTTCTTGACACGATTTTAAGAAAGATGTGCTAGAGGTGTCATTAAAAGGTACAGACGTACAGTAAGTACTGTAAATAGCTTTCAGAAATATGAAACATTGCATAATCTCTATACAAAATTAAGCAGTAGGCTACGAACACTGCCATGCCTAATTAAGTAATGGCATAATGTACCGTATCTCACACACTGTAATACAGGAACAAAAGGAGGAGGCGGTCTTATTTAGAACAGCACTGACAGAACAGAAACCAGGGACAGATGTCTGAATCCTTTATTATTGTTGTTATTATTTCTGTTATGTTAACCTACTGTACGTTACATGAATGCAATATAAACATTGTATTTAGGTTTGCTCTGAAAGACTTTATCAATACTGTTCTCCGTATTTAATCCTTTTCCTAGTTTCATGTCTGTTTTGTATTACACCGTACATACTGTAGTAAATGTATATAAGAATGACCCCAAAAGGAGCTCAGTTCAGTGGCATACAGCTTGAACATTACTAAAGGAGGCTCAGGCCTTCAGGGAACACTGAAAGGGTCACAAAGAGGTTACAATGAGACTCAGTGTATGTCTCAGAGCCCTCAGGGTGCCTACTATTAAAAATACTTCTATCTCTGTACCTTTGTACAGTACATTGACTTTTAAGAGTAGGACGCGTGGTTCTGCTCGCTACCTCCCACTATCAAAGAACAGTTACAAACATTGCCAAAGGCTACACCAAAAACGATTCTGAAGTTTTCATTAAACCTAGAACATCTAAACTAATTAGGAGAGCATGGAGTTGTGCTACTAAAAATTAGGAGAGAGGAAAGTACAGATTTGTTTAAAACGTAATTATTAAATTGTTTACTTATTTAAGTTGTAGGGTGAACAGTTTTCATTGAGAGTTTCACTTTCCCCAATACCAGTACATTAAGACACAGTATTTACACTGATACCAACAAGAATAACCAACATTTGAACAATGTATTCTCCCCTGCTATCAGTAGGTAGTTGCAGTTGAACACATAAGATACGATGAGCTTTATAGCATATGAGCAACACCTCCAACCAAAGACTTTGGCAGCTTTTTAGTTGGTTTGTTAGATTTTTTTCAACATACAGTATGTTTATATGATTCAGTTTAGTTTCATGAATGAATGAGTGAATTCATTAATTAATTTGAAAGGTTCCTTCATTACATCAATTGATGAACGAACATGTATATTTTCTATGACCAATAGCATAAATGATTCTGTATAAGTCCTTCCAACTGTACATCAACCAAAACAAAATAATACAGCATTGTGTAACCTTGTATTTACTAGATGTCTCAGAACTGATTGCAGTTCAAAACACTATCATCCCATTTAATTTTTAATTTATTTTTGAGAATACTGTAGATAAAATCATTTTAAATGCAGATGACATGACACAACAATTCTCTTATAATACAAATTTACTGATATCCATCACACATGAAAATTTAGACTGTTCTTATCTTTCCCTTAATATTTTACAATTCTTTTACTTCTAACCAAATTATATACAATCAAAATAAGTCAGATACATACGTTTTTATGATTTATGAAGAGGGAAAAATATGTAGAAATATATTCTTAATTCTAGTTTGAATTATTCTGTATAGTATCATCCTAATGATACTCCTAATGATACCCTTAAAGGGTTTTCAGGCAAGGTCAAGTTTCTCAAGTCAGTTTCTCTTTTGAACTCCATTTTTCTACTGCACTAAAATGCATAGTACAGTATGTGAAGAGTCATACTTTAGAACTGGTAATATACAGTAGCTGCATTTTAGCTTGTGCTAAAATTAATTAAAAAAACAATTACAGATGTTGGAAGGTCTTTATTAAAAAAAAAAGAAAATGTATTGAAGGAAAATTCAATTAAAATGCATTTAAAATATGTATGCCATCTGTACCTAATACATATACTGTACCTAAGTAGAACAGTCGGTGTACAAAACGAACAAAAAGTGAGTAATGTAAGTAAAATTTGGTTGTTGGAAAAAAAAATCCCAGTCCTTTTACTGTAAGTTTCTAATGAAGTTAATGAAAAATAAATCCCGTACCAAATTCATTCTACTGTACCTTTCGGTTGAGATACATACAGGTAAGAATAGTTCTGATAGAAAAAGAGAGAATTGTTTGTGACAATATTTTGTCAAGGAATAAAACCAAACCTAAATGCAAATGTCATTGTTAATGAAACAATTCAACATGAGTAAAATAGTAACAATAAATAAAAAAACTTTTCCATAAGCTTGCAGACAAACTTGCTGTGTTATTGTCCGGCGCTCATTACTATATTGTAAAACAGTACTGTATATCCTACTAAAGCGCAAGAAACACGATTTTAGTCCGGAATGTCCCGAACAACGAATGTTTACGCAATTTTCGATAGTATATACCTTCAGTGGCATTCGATTTTCAATAAATGTTTTGTGGTCAAGTGTTCTTTTTATCCCAACATCTGTACAGCTCTGTGTCAATGCAGCATATACTGTAGTTAAATCTTTGCGCGATTGATGTATTGAACTTCCATACCAAGGAAGCTTTGGTCTCATCGGTCTAAACGAACACAAAAAGCATTCTCCGCACAACGCACCTAAAATTAAAATGGAATGGAAGCCAAGCGTTTTCAAGCTCTTACAATGACAGTACCATGTGCGGAAACATACAATCCAGTTAATGCCTTAGAAGACATTTGTAATTACTGAGAAAACGTCCGCGGAAAGCTGTAGCGTTCACTGCAATGAATACAGAATTTCACCCGTGCCTAATCGTATTTCATTACATAGAGCAGCGTGGCACAGAGCTTCGGGCAGAGGTGGGAAGACGAAAGACCAGGAGTGATGTTCTGAAAACAAAGGCACACACGCGAAGACTCTAACCTTCAACAGGCGTATCTTCTAGTGCAACATCTCTTTCCAGCGTATTATACAACCACCAGAATAATAAAATGCACGGCCGAAGAGAATGTGCTCGCGGTTTGGAAACCTGTTATTGAGTTAACGAAGTTGCTTTTTAATATAACACATTTATTCCGACTTATGCACAAGGAAAAAACAATCTCAATCCGCTATTATGTAATTAAAACCAGATGTGGCTTTTATATGTTACAATTTACATGCATTGTTTTAGTTGCACCAGTAGAGTGTATTTTATATTTCGTAGCCATTTGTTTTTTTCTGTGAATTGTATACAGTTTAAAGTCATTGGATTTATAACCCTACGCCATATACTTTGAAGTATCAATATATTTTATTGTATTTTTTGTTCTTTTGTGGAGGACAAACGACGCCAAAGTGCTGTACAGCCTCCTGAGGGTAATCTAATCAGTATCTCACCGTTTGTGTGCTATGACAACAGTCGTATACGTAGTTCGCAGTATTTTTAAATCAGAAAAATGACAGCGGTTATTTTGTCTCCGCCAGAAGACTTAAACCTGTTGGGTTAAATGATTGAAACTTTAGAAATGGCGCTTACAGAAAACATCTTAATAATTTCCTGTATAGACAGTTATGTAACGTCACATTTAATAGTTTGAATGATTAGTAGCCCTTTCTTTGCAAATGTCACATTCTTCACCGTAATTGCAGTAAATATTTAAAAAAAACATTTTTTGTACGTGAAAGCTGAATTATTAATCTGCTAAGTACCATGCTATAGATCCATGCAGCCAAATGGAATATTAACTGTCACTATACAGTGCTGGTGAAAGAACAGCACATGATAGATTTTGTTTGGACAGATAAGACAGAAAGGTCTTACCTGATTGCTTTACATTCTATATCCTTTAAATATATATTTTTTTTCCACTGCACTTTGAATGCAAATGATGTTGTTCCTCAGTGGAGCTCAAGAGATCCTCATTGTGTGAGAGAAGGCAAAGCCATTGCAGATCCTTAAGATGATGTTAAATTTCTTCCCCATGTTGAAGGAGCATTCGCACATACTGCACACACACTATCATCCACTCTGGATTGCTGGTGAAAACCAAGGTGATGGCAAAACCATTTTTTTTCTCTCCTGCAAGAAAACAAAAAAGGACCTGATGCTTCAGAGATCTGTACTTTTCTTCCCCCTCTCCCCTCCAAGCCCCAAAGACCGCTTCAAAATATTAAAAAGCAAAAAGAGGGGAACAAGGCTTTCTTCTCAAGCCAGACAAATCTCTGCTTTGTGGTGAATTCTAGAGAGACAACACCAAGCTTCCAGTCCTCCTGTGTTTTTTCTTTCCCTTTCTATGCCTGAGAGCAGCTTATTCTGCTTCCTTTCAGGAGCCCTGGTGTAGGTCCAGAGCACTGGTTGCAGTTGTCATGGTTTTTGATGGAGCAGTAAGTCCCTGTAGCGACATCACCTCCAAGTGATCAGCCTCTCTCTCCTGCCTTCCCCACAATGGGCTCTCGGCTTCAGTCACTAGCGTGCAGCCCATTCTTCTCCACATGCTTCTTTTCTCTCCTCGTCATTTGGGAATTCGTGTTTTTTTTCCAGTCCCTAAAACCTCTGTTTTGCGCTTGAGTCTGCCTGCTTGCTTCCTGACAATCGTTCTTGAAGGTTCCACCCCAATTAACCTACTGTACGTGCTCATTAAGAGCTCATTTTATTGTGCTTTTTTTTATTTCTCATGTGGGTGATGTAAGAATCATTTCCTTAAACAAAGCAAACAGTACTTTTATTCTCTATGGAATTTTTATTGCTGGAGTAATAGAGGCAAGATCCAGTTTACATCTAAAATTTGCTACAGCATACAGATAAAAGGTGAGGTTGTGTGAAAAGGAAATATTAATTCAACAAGGTAAATATTTTTTCGTAGCCTGTTGTAAAACAAAAAATATTTTTGAATAATTTACAGAATGTACAGTAAATGTCCTACAATGTGCATTGAACACAAATTTTATTTGACATGCAAATCTATCTAAAATGCAAAGAAACCTTGAGCAGTAAATATGTGACTATCAATTTTTTATGCAGTAGTCAGGAGTGCTAGATGGATGTTCAGTTTATGCTTGTGTTAAGGTTTCTAAGTGAAAAAGGATTCAAAATGAACTTGTTTGGTTCCCTGAAATGTTAGTATATCAACAGTGATACAATGAACAAAAACAGGGACAACTATGCCCGGGAAGGCAACAGGGAGGTCATGAATTTATTTAACCTACTGTGGGAACTGCTTGCTAAAACACTGAAGAGACACAAAGGACATTGCGTGATCTAATATACAGTATTATACAGTATTCCATGGTAGAGTTTTACAGGCAAGGGAAGCACAGTCTTACAGTGTAAAATGTACCATGAAATTAGGCATAATTTCACTGTATTTTAACTGCGGTTGTTCTAATTTACCTGCACGCGAGAAAAAACCTAATCAACACAAGTCCATTAAATCAATCTGGTGAGTAAATGGAATAAGTAAAGGTTTATTCCATGCTGAAAAGAAAAGAAACACAATGTTTCGGCAGTGGAGCCTTCTTCGTGTGTCACACCTTCTCTTTTCAGCATGGAATAAGCCTTTACTTGTTCCTTTACAGTCTACATACAGTATGCTGATGCAGCTGCTTATATAAACTGCTGAAAAACTGTCCATTCTGGGCCGAAAGTCAATGTTCCCTTCAGTATGATTGTCTGCACAGTCCGACTTGTAGAGGTGGAAAGGACAGCTCCAAATCATAATTGAATTGATTAATGTTGTTCACTTATTAAACACTGTTGTTCACTAGGAATAACAACACTCAAGAATAAAGTGTCCTGAGAGGATTATGGAGGACTTGAAAATGTGAAAAAATGTGAAAATGTGCCTTAACCCACTTGGGAACTAACCTCATGGCTATAGGACGAGGGGGCTGGGACCCCCATACAGAATAAGGAGTGACCGAGGGGCAGCCGCAGAGGTGAAGATGGGGTGGAGGTGGGATGCGAAAAACATATGCAAGGGTAAGACGGGGATCACATACTGTAGGTATTTATATTGTTTTAGGGGAAGAAATTACATCAGAACTGTCTAACATGGTTGTTGTCATCCCTCCTGAATGTTTCGTTACAAAATCCATTTACTTTCATTAGTTGGATTTATATTCCATTGCAGTTGTGGTATTCATTTTATTTCTTTTATTAGGCTTTTTAAATTTAAATTAACATATTTTTTACATTACTACTTACTATAGTATTTGCATTTCTATCTTTCCTACAATGTGACCAATTACTATTATTACAAAAGACTCCTTTTGCTATTTTTAACAGTGTGTTTGCTAAAGCTTGTTCTTTGCTATTAAAATTAATCAAGACAATATAATACACAGAGATTCTATATACATTTCAAGTTCTTTTAAAAGTTGTTAGATTTGTTGATGTGTTCTTTCCCCTTTTCTCAGAAGAATTGTCTGGGTTTTAATTAAACATCTGCTTTCATAGCTAAAGTTTATGTGGATGTTCAAATAAGGTTAATTTGTCATTAATATTAAGGATTCCTACACTTGCTTCCTTTATTTTCCTCATCTGCGTTTTGAATTTCACTAGAATCTACAGAACACAACTCTACAAAAGCCAGAGTAAGTAATTGCATTTTTTAAAGTGTACAATACAGTGAACACATACACAACAATTGTTTTAAAACAGGTTTCTTATTATGATTGCCATTGTTTTATTAGCATTAATGATACACACAGAATAGCATTTATTTAATATAGATATGAAATAACTATTTAAAACAATATTAGAATTTAGCTGTAATTACATCTGGTCAGAGTAGCTAGATTTCAAATGTATAATATTTTGAATCTCTTCACCATTCCCAAGTAAAACAAACAAAATAAAATAGATTTAACAATGAATAAACAACAGAGACAGGATGACCTAGAAAATTATAAAATACTTTAATCATTAGTCTAATGTGGATTTCCTAAAAAGAAAATTTCCCATAAATGAACAAAAAGCTAACATTTCAAGGTTACAAATCATCCTCTGTAGATTTAAAACAGTTTTTCACTCTCACTCTCTTTTCACTTGAGAACAAGGTCCCGAAATATAAATACATTTATATTATATTTATACATTAGGTCCTTTTTATCATTTTTATCTATGTGTAAGAAGAATTAAAAATTGAATTTGCAGCCCCTAACCTAAACTGTTGCCACTCAAAAAATATAAATATCCTCTGTTACATCTGGGCTTCCTTTGTTTTTAGATGTTTGTCACCTGAGTAATTCTTCCCCATTCTGGATTCAAGTTGGCAATTTCTTAACATGTCTGTTTTTCTATATATGGAATTTAAAATATTAAAGACAGTGCCTAATCTAAAGTTTAGCAGAATTACATTTTTATATTCTTAATAAAATTTAAGGTTTAGAGAAGTGGACCACAAGTACTATAGATAGTGATACTGGAGAAATGTATGTTTATACCACATTAAGGTTAAAACACACTTTACACCGGTGATAAATGTATGTACTGATTAAATACAAATAAGTGTAATTTTCACAAGATTCCGAAAGGAGAATGTGTCTAATTTCAACTAATGTCTTTATGTACACTAGCGTGCAAAGGTCTTAAGCATTTCATATTGTTCTATTCACATCTCATTTCTCTCACATCTTTCTGTCTTTGGCCTATTTGTTTCATGAATGTGCAGAAGAGCAAGTGATGTTAATGAGGTGAAGCATTTGTGAAGGAGTAAAGGAAGTTCCATCCATCCATTTTCTAACCACTTCTTCCAATTCAGGGTTGTTGGCAAGCTAAAGCCTATCTCAGCAAGCAAAGGGACAAGGCAGGGTACACCAGAGATTCAAACACTATCACCAGGGCTGAAACCAGTCATTTTAGGGGAGAACATACAGTACAAACACCACATAAAGACCACCCCAGGTCTGGAATGTAACCCAGGACCCCAACACAGCAAGGCAACAATGCTAACCACGATGCCACCATATCTCCCAAGTAAAGGAAGTTCCTAAATAAAATTAAGAAGACCTGCGTTCTATTGCTAAATAAGATGTATTAGCTTCTGCAACACTTCATAATGGCTTCTTACAGTATGTACTGTATGGCTTACTTTGAAAAGAATTTCATCTGAATGAAATTGCTTTTTCAAAGATGTACCAGGAACACTAAGCTTGGATCTGAACCCAAAACCCTTCATATCTCCTAATGTCTCCTACACTCGGTTGACCCCAGTTCCATGGTGATTTGGCAGAATCTTTCTCTCTAATTCATGGCCCCTAATACATAAATAAATCCCCCAAACCACCTTTCACGATAATGCGGAATGTCTTATAGGAATTATGAAACATGGACCAACACAATGTGTCTTTTAATTACTGGTGTTTGTGATTTTATTGCTGTGTTAGGCTACTGTTATCTGCATCTTTTACATCTTAACCAAATGTGACTGTAAATTGCTGTGTATTAAAGGATCTGCCAAATGCATAAATGTAAATGTATTACTGACTAAGTAGATGATGAATGTAATTCATGTCAATAGGCTTTGCAGGGATGAAAGTTTAGTTTTAGTTGTGCATTTACCTGTTTGATTCCTGCTGATATTGAGAGACGTTGACCTACAGTAGCTGCTGTGATGTTTCATGATAGCAAAATAGTCCTGCACTCTTTTCTCTTAGGGAATGCTATTACAGAACAGAATTGTTTTGTCAGCTGTGTTTGATGTATACTGTAGAGTAGGTAGGGAAAAATAAATTATGACAGCTCAGAATATACAGTACTGTATCTTGAGAGGCGTTACAAGTGCAACAAATGAATATTGAAAGTGCAATAAACGAAAATTGAATTTTTTTATGTCTTTCAGTATACAATACATGGAAAACAAAAACAGTTTAAAAATGTTTATATAATCAAATTTTGGACTCGTATCTTATTTAGATCTGTTAAATCTCTGATAGCTGATTTAAAATTTCTATAACCGATATTCTGAATCTATGGTTGTTAATGGAGGTGTTTTCTGCCTTAGACCTCAAGCTGTTAACAGTCATACTGTAGGCACAATCACAAAAACATTCTTTCTCATACCCATGTTACGTTGACTGGAGGAGCTCTGTAATTCAAGGAGACTACCAGTTCACAAGGGTCTTGCTCTGCTTTGTCAATCCAAACATCAAATATCTGAACTGTAGGGCTCAGTCTGAGTTTGGATGAAATCTCTTTGATTGAGCTTTTCAGAACCAGCAATGTTTAGGCTGCAGAAGCTGCAACAGCCCGTTTTGTAAAAAAAATCTTCCATACATCGATTTAGTAAATGTGGGACACTGAAGGCTTTTTTTCATTTCTTACAGCAACCTAGCCTGAACATCTTCATGTCTTTTTTTTTACTCAGATGCCTCTCAACTTGCTGCTGAAAATGACCAAAACTCAGCATTCATCAGAATAAGTCTGCCTCTGGAACTATAGTGATGGGGCATTGCAATGCCTTCTAAATTCTTAAAGGGCTTGAGCTGTGCTGGTTGAAGTATTCCTATGTCCGTAGCAATCAGAAAATGGTATTTTTTTTCTTATTACACTGTGTCAGTTTTTGCTCAT